ACCTTTCTACCTCCTCTAACACTGTTTATCATGACTTACTATTTTGAGTAACACCTTTAGCAACACTAGCTTCCTCATAAAAATCTTTTTTTCCTCTGCAAGATTGTTGAGATAGTGGATTTTGACATGCTGCATATGTTAGTGAGATTGGCCAAAGGCTATTCTCATATTTTTCTACATTTTCTTTTATTTTTCAATTGTGTTTTCTTTTGTACCTTCACTTCTTTCCTTAGCTACTTTTCTAGTTTTGGGGGACTAATTTGATACAGTAATCATAGTGATTACATAAAGCACTGACCAAAATCACATCCACAGTCATACACATCTGGGCTCAGACTGATGCTTTTGTATACTAACATACGCTTTTCTGGAATCATGCATCTTTGTTTACAACTGATCGAGTGACTAGCATTTGACTTGTAAGTCAAGACTTTGGTCTATCCAGTTGTCACTCAGGTTGTTCATGTGTGAGGCTGGTTGTAACTCAAGGATCCACTGTACATGGCAAATCAAAGATTGTATGACTCCTGTGGAACATGAAATCATGATAGAAGGGAGGCAGAATAAAGAAGAGAAAAATCGTGTGGACATAGAAAAAGTTAAAATTCTGTGATGTTTTGAATGCTATTTCATCTATAAAATAGGTAAAATAGAGGAATTCATGTATGTTAAAATATGTTATCAGATTAAAACAATAGAATTAAGTTGTTTGGCAATGCAAAATATCAACATGATCACATAATTAGAGTACTTTTTATTGATTTTTTTCCATATTTAGAATCAACACATAGTAAAAATCCTCAGCTTGTTGAATAATGAAATGCAAATTTCCTAGACCCTGACAGTATGCAAACAAGTATATAGGAAACTAATATCCAGAGTAGATGGAGGGAGGAGGAAACTTTGGGAGATCTAAATATATTGTACATTTCCCAGAATCAACCTTCCTTTAAGTGTGTTTGTGAAAGTTACAATAAACAACATAACTGATACTAAGAGCTAGCTATTAGGAGGAAAGAGGGCACCTGAGTGGAAATGCTCTAAGATGCCCATCTTTTATGTAGGAACATCTTTCATACTTTTTAAAATTAATCAGTTCAGAAAGAGAGGAGTAATAATGTTTGTTAGGAATTTCTTTGGTAAACTACCAGGAGAATAAATAGTAAATATTAAAGTGGTTGGGTCTGGGACTAGAGATGAATTGGAAGAGGATATCTTTTGATGCTTAACTGGCATCTTCATTTGGAGGTTTTTAAAAAGGTACTTTGTGTCAGCATTATTTTTATAAACAAGTAGCAATTATTTTACAATACACTAACTATACTACATTATTTTCTTTTTCTATAACCAAACACCTAAGACTGAGTACTTTACAATGAAGACTTTTTGCTCTGGATTCTGGCAGCTGGAGGGTCCAATCATGTAGCCCTGGGCCCCGGCTACACCACAATGTGACAGTGAAAAAAAAGGTGCAAGAGGGACCAAAGAGATAGGAAGAAGCCTTGCTTGATACCAACAATTTCTTATGAGAGGAATCACTTCCTCTAAGAAAATAGCTTTACTCTCTCCTGAGGGCAAAGTCCCAATAACGTAATTATCCCGCACTACACCTTTCACTGAAAGGTGTCCCTACTTTACAGCCATGCCACATGGGGACCAAGTTTCCCACTATGGTCATGCAGAAAGAAACTCCTAACTTTATGAAACTATCACAACGTTGAAGTAAAGCTCTAATAGAGAAGAGGAGGCTAAACTTTTAATGTCATGTACTTGTAAACAGTGATGCAAGTAAGTGCTAAATATTTGCCATTTAAGTATGAGATTGATATGACACACCCAGTGTTTACTCCTGCACTGTAAGGATGGCTGGATATTAAGAAATCAATTCACACAAATGCACATACCAACATATCCATTAGAAAAAAAAACATAATCATCTCTACTAGTAACTTAGCATCCTTTCTATTTCATAAAACATAGCCATAGACAAATGGCAGTGCAGTGTACTTCTTTTTAAGATCTTTTACTTATTTATTTATTTGGTACAGGGTCTCGCTACACAGCTTGAACTCATAGTGATCCTCCTGTCTCAGAGTCCCTAGTGCTGGAATTACAGGCATGTGCCACCTCACCTAGCTGCCCACGTGATATGCAGTACTGGGGATCGAATCTTGCACTTGCCAGGCAAGCACTTAGAACACTGAACTATCTTCCCAGCCCTACCGTGTACATATTTAACTTGATAGAAGTGGTTGAAACACATAAGACAAAACTTAACTGTTTAATACAAAGTGCTTTTACCAAGCAACTAGAAAAAGATACAGCCAATAGAAAATTGTAATAGGAGACACATCTCATGCCAACAGTCTCCAACACAGTGAAAAATGTTCAATGTCATAATTATTTGAAGGAATGTAAATGTAAACTGCAAAATATAAAATTTAAAGTATTGTACTAGCAATTATTTAAGTGCTAACATACTCAATATTGGTGCAATTGAAAGAAATGGGCTCTCTTATCTGGCTGGGTGATATGTTCATTGATAAAACAATTCAAGAAGGCAATTATCAACATACTAAAAAGCATTAAAAGCAAATACAGGGCCGGGGAGCTAGCTCAGTCATCTAAGCACCTGTACGGTATGTGCAGGGACCTGGGTTCGATCTCAGGCTTGTATGCCTTGCTGGCCCTTCCCCGGGTGTCACTAGCTGGACACTGAAGCTGGGCAAGGTGGCACATGCCTGTAATCCCAGTGATGGGGAGGCTGAAACAGGAGGATTATTATGAGTCTGACCTGTGTAGTGAGACCTTGTACCAAGTACATAAAATTGTGAGGTTAGAATTAATGTATTTAAAAGCCTCAGGATATACCTGGTAAGCTTTCCTTAACACCAGCTTATATTATACTTTTTATTACCACTGTTATGATATCTCAAAAAATGGGAGTTTTACTTACTTTTGTTTTCAGTTGCCTTAAGCATTTAATAAACTTGAATAGCTTTCATCATACGTCCTTGGTGGCTCACTCATCGTACTTGCCTACATGTCCATGGTTCTTTTTCTTTGAGATTTTGAATACAAAAGACTAAGGAACTCACAGAATGAGAATGCAGGAGGCTGCAGGGCCAATAAGGAAGAGACAGGAAAATCAATTATGTCCTTCAGTAGAGGCAGTGGTCATGACAGAACTAGGGTATGAAACCGAGTTCTCTAGGGGAGCATAGTGCCTGGAACATGAGCCATTTGGTGGAGACTGTGAGTGACTACACATCCTGCTTTTCTCAAAGTTTTTCCTTTTAGCTTGACTTCCATACCTTCATAATTAAACTTTATCAGCTGAGGAAACCCAAAGATGATCTTCAAACTTTGTACAATATTAATGACTCACATACATGACCTACTTAAAGTATGACACAGATTTCTATTCACTTTCTAGATTTGCTGATGGACATTTCCAACTTTTCTCCTTTGTTGGTGTCTCTATTTTCTATTTGGACTCATGCTGTAACTTTATTCTTCATCCACTTCATGTCATTTTGAATAACAGTATGAATTTTGGACTTACAATTATGACTTTAAAGACTTGGTCCTGAGTCAAAATCCTAACTCCCCTAATTATGGATAAGAAATATAACTGAGTACCTCCTTGGCCTCATGCTAGTCCCCAGTCAGATCACTGACAGGTGGGCCTGATAGAACCAGAGTAAGGGGCTGTTGGGTTGAAGGGCAGAGAGGGCAAGTAGCCAGAGTTAGCAAGCAAAACTGATAGACTACTGGGGTCAGGGAGGAGACAAAGCCTGGGTAATTTCTAGGTTTTTGTCTTGGCTGCCTAGGGAGAGACTATGAACAAATGATTTGGGGTTTCAGGTAAAGTTTTCCAGCAGAGAATTGAAAAACCTACTTTCAAGAATAGAAATATAAGTAAGTAAATAAATAAACATGAAGTTGCCCCTCTCCACAACAAAGAATACAGACTAATTCTCCATTTCCCAAACTACCAATTAGCTGTAAGTAGAGAAACTAACATAGAGCAAGGTATAGACTCTTTTCAGTTTGTCTCCATGAGATTTGGAGTTCATGCTATTTTAGAAAAAAAACCTCTTATTATTTATTTTGGATTTAAATGCATACTGTGTGTGTGGGATTCCACTGAGAAATCTTAGGAACTGGGGAATCTGAGTTCCAGAAATACTTTTTAATTCATAAAATATGATAATCAATAGTGTACTATACCATGTGGAAAGTTATTAAGCAATCCTACACTAATGCTATGACCAGTTAAATTGGATTATAAAAGAAACATTGTCAAATGCATGAGAACATTATTTTTAAATACTTGAAAGAGCAAAAGCGTCTTATAAAATCCCTTAATACATGCCATAGTTGAAGACATATGATAGATTGAAGCAACAAAACTAAAAAAAAAAAAGGACAAATTCATTGTGTGTGGCTTTAAAGGCACATAGGAAGGAAAAATATAAAATTTTGCAGAAATTATATGCATCAGTTTACAATGTTATTTTAAACATTATCATTTCTGCAAGTGTGTTTACTTTAATATGAAATACTAAAACAGAAACAGTTAAATAATCAAAAAAAAGGATAAAAAGGCCTGGGAAGAGGAATAAGTAAAGATTAAAGCAAAGAAAAGGGGGCCAGGGAGATGGCTCAGTGGAATAAGCACTTCCCTGGCAAGCACAAGGGAAGTTCAATTCCTGGTTCTACAAAACAAAAAACAAACAAACAAACAAACAAACAAAAAATCAAAAACAAAAACAAAAAAAGCAAAGTAAAAAAAGATGCCATTGAAATTTTCAATGAAATATTTATGCAATAAATATCTATGCAAGAATTTTTTTCCAGAAAAATTGTTAAGAATGAAATAAACAGATCATACTCATGCCAAGTGTACACAGAAGAAAAGCCTTTAACAGAGGGACATAAAGACAGAGTTAAGAATCACAGGAATCATATGTAACTTTGAATATCTGTCGTTTTATTCCTTAGAAACCCATTATCAATACAGCATAACCACAACTCTAGAGTACAAACAGGTAGAAAATCATGTGTTAAATGCAAGAAAGAAATTCACAGAACAATGAGCACCGGGCCTGTCTTTGGCTAGTGAAGAAGTGCTTCTCATTTTCAGTTTTCTGTACTGTACTTAGACGCCCTACATGAAGGCACGTCGCTTTTACAATGTGCAGGAGTTACTTCTACTAAAGATGAACCTCTGCATCCCAGCTCATATTAAAATTTAATGCGACGGAGTTTCTCTCCTGCCAGCTAATTCAGGAACTGAACCAGATGACATCCCTTCCTATACAAGGTGTGTTACAAAGTTTCCCCACGAGAAAGAAGCGTTATCTCCCGTTATCTGACCCATTTCCTAGCCCATGTTTCCAATGGCCAATTTCAGGGTAGCTCTGCCGCTTGGAATCTGCGCTGTCTTTGTTTTCCCGGGGAAGCTAACAATGGGCTACTGATGTGTGCTGTTATTCTTTCCTATCTGGTTCTGGCTGGGCCTCTGGTGTAGGATTCCTCTGACTCGCAGAGCCCGAGAGGCGACTGTAACGTTCTGTCGGAACACTGCCAACCTTAGACGGCCACAGTGCCCTCCGCCCGCTCACACATGCGCTCCAGAATCCGGTGGATGCTGGGGAAGCTGGGCCTGTCTGCTGGCAGCTTGCTCCAGCACAGACGCATCAGGTTGTAGAGCTCCAAGGGGCAGTTCTCAGGGCAGGAGAGGATGTTGCCGTCTCGTACGTAGTAAATGACCTCCTCGTGGGCCATTCCGTAGTAGGGCTGCAGGCCATAGGAGAAGATCTCCCAGAGCACCACACCGTAAGCCCACACGTCAGATTCTGTGGTGTAGCGGTTGTAGAAAATGGACTCGGGTGGCATCCAGCGGATCGGGATAGCGTCGTTTTCATTCGCTTTGTAGTAGTCTGCTGAGTAGATATTCCTGGAAAGGCCAAAGTCTGCAATTTTCACCACCATGTTCTCACCGACCAAGCAGTTCCTGGTGGCTAAATCTCGGTGGACAAACTTGCGCTCGGAGAGATAAGCCATGCCCGCTGCCACCTGCCTGGCAATGCACAGCTGCTCGGCACAGGAGAGGGGTGGCGGCCCCGGACTGGAGACCTGCGCCCTCATGGACAGGTCACTGTGACTGAGGCTGCACACGGCGTGGGGGGACATGCTGCGGAGGAACTCGTTGAGGTCCCCGTAGGCCATGTATTCAAAGAGCAGGCACATGGGTTTCCCGACGGCACACACTCCTGGAACCAAAGAGCATCCTCGATTAGACTGGGATCCTAAAATCACACATTGGAGAGAGCGTTGCAAAAACAAAGGCAAAGATTCATAAATGTGAGATCTTGCTCTTTCGTTTATAGCGTCATAGCCTAACCCTGATCCCACTGGCTTGTTTAAGGATCTTCTACGTACCTTTAAAGATTAAGCTTATTTGTGTACTTCCTGACTCTTCCAGTTTTTGTTAGATTTTCCTTCTACCATCCATTAACATACTATCTCTACCTTTCTATTTTTAAACATTCGCATATATGAGGCTTTTCTCCAACATTTGGCACTTTGAAAGGAAAGGTTAAAAAAAAAAAAAAAAGGAAAGATTATGTCTACCTTCCCCACATCCACATGTGTGGCAGAACAGGTGCTGTAAGACACTTGATAAACCAATGGACCCTTGCTCGAAGTTTGGAATGTAACTGCTCTCTGGGTCTGAGTACTTCCTTGGACAATGATAGCAAGGGAGGGTATCAAGTTTGGAAGAAATAACAACCCATCTCTGACAAAAGTATACATAAAAAGGGGGTGTTTGGACAGGATATCATGCCTGCGTGTTGTACTATGAATAACTACTACGAAGACAACAATATGCAATGTATTAATTATTGTAACTGTCCCACTAACTTGTTTTGAGACTGTTTCATTGCTACTTTTTTCCTCAATAAAATTAATAGAAAAAATAACAAAAATAATCCAAGATCCTTCAATGAAGTATTTAGTTGGCTACCGTAAAATATTTTGAAATTTAGGTTTTACTATTGATTTCTATCCTTCCAAAGGAATGTGTTAACATAAACACAATCTTAGATTTATTCCAGGAAGGCATTTGCAAATTTTAAAATATTTCAAAAAAAAGAACTGGAGAACTTGGAATACTAGATCAGATGGGCATAATTTCTTGTAATCATGAAAACTGAATATGTGAGATTTACTTTTAAGGAAAAAATTAGAAGTCTATTATTTTAAAAAAGAGAAATAAAGAAAACTATTTTATTGGTTTATTCATTTTGGAGTCTTTTTTAATTCCAGAGCCTCAGCAATCAGCATATTTATGTACACTACAGAGATAACAAAAGAAATATTGACCAGATCTTTTTTAAAAAAAAACAACTGGGATTCTTATGGGATCATCTTTAGTAAACATGGATTTACCCATTTTGCCAACTGGCCTTATTTTCTTCATGCTAGTTGAATAGATTTAAAAAGAATCCTTACACTGTAAAAAACACATGTTTCTCTGAGAAATACAAACATTTGAACTAAGATGATTTGATTAAACATTCCTGTCCCTGATTAAAAAAAATAGTACATGGAAGATTTTTAGTTTGTGGTGTTTATGAGTAATTATATATTTATATATGTGCATAAATAATTTATAAAAATATATGTTAGTAGATAAATGGGCATACAGATGACCATATGGGTGGATGAGTTTCAAGATGGATGATGGCTGTAAGAAAACCAAGTCACGGGGAGCAGAGTTGGAGCCCTGGCACCACAAGCCCTGTCGGCCCCATCCCTGGGGCACGCTGAGACAGAGTTTGAGACTGGGCCTGGTAATGTGCACCTGTAATCCCAGTGCTTGGGAGGCTGAAAACAGGAGGATCACTATGAATCTGATCTGTGTAGTGAGATCCTGAATACCTTGTACTAAATGCATTAAAAAAGAAAAAGAAAAGAAAACCAAGCCAAGCCTTTAACTGTATCAAGCCACAGCATTCAGCTTTAGTGTGACACCTTCCACAAATCATCTCAACTCTTTGTTCAACTGTTTTCTCAACTGCCAGAATATTGGGCAGGTGCCTATATTTTCCAATCCCTTGTCCTACTAAAGAGAATTCTGATGAGCTATGGATTTATACTCTTTTCCTCTGATTTATGACTATAAAATATGCACCAAGATTTCAATAAAAGGTAAGGAGCTAAAAGGTAAAAATACAAGTATATTCAGTAAGTGTTTACTATTCTAAATTCATAAAAGAAAGCAGATTTATCTTATTGGAAATTAGATTTTTTACAAATGTATTTAATATGAGGTCTGACTACACAGCATGATCCTCCTGTTTTCAATCTCCCAGCTCTGGGATTACAGGCATGCGCCACCACACCAGGTCTCAGTGGCTGACTCAGCGTGTCCCCAGGGCGGGACCCATGTGGCACACCATACTGGGATCAAACCCCAGTCCCTGCACTGACCTAAGTAGGTACTTAGTCAGCTGAGCTATTTCACTGGCCCTAGAAATTAGTTTTATAGATTGTCCCAGTTTGTCTGTTACTGTTGTGGTCTCATTGAAATTGTGTTAACTTCTAAAAAACTAAGAGTAGTGAGGCTACATGCAAAAATGATCACTGCTTATTTATACTTAAATAAAAAGCATATCCTGTGTTTATAGGACTGTGAGATTTTTGAAATTCAAATATAGTATTTCACAAAGTTGTGTTCCTCTTGGGCAATAAGAATGAGATAAAAACTCTTAGTGGTGTCATAGAAATGTCTCCACAAGACTCACAAATTTACAAATTGTACATTCTTTGTATATGAATCACTCTCAGGAATTCAGAATGTTGTAAAATTGCAAATGCTCATATATATATTTTTTTTTTTCAGAACTGGGGATTGAAATCAGGCTCTTGCGCTTGCCAGGGAAGTGCTTATTCCACTGAGCCATTTCCCCGGCCCCTCACATATTGATGTAGGAACAACACTTTAAGAAATAATGTAAATTATTCTATGACAAGAAAATAATCTCAATTTGGTGCTTATCATAGATTATGGCCAAAGGTTTTCAAACAACACACAATTCAAAAACCAAGAGCACTTATCTCTATGTAATACCTTTTAAAATTCTAGTACTGCTTTCTGTGCCTGAAAGATGTTAAATAGGCCTCTCAAGACCTGAGCCGTGATAGGAGGGACTCGGGTTTTCTAATAGATCATCAACTCTTCTCTATAGCTCTAGACACAATGCTTGGCTGAATTTCAAGGCAGAAACTCAGAAATAAACATTTAATTTTATCAACCATGATATTGTGAAAGCTGCCTCTGAAGTGGTCATAAATATCTAGCAAACAAGTAATTTCTATTTAAGGGCTAGGAGTGAAGTTAGGGAAGAGATTTGGGGTCTTAAGTTAACAAAATATTGCAGAAAAGTTTATGGAGGAGGAGTGCAGAGTCAGAAGAAGGCTGGGGACTGAGTCCTCGAACACACTGAGCCTAGGGCTGGGGGTAGTACAGTAGACAGAGCCCTTGAGCATGACTGAGGGTGGAGGAAACTGCTGCGAACCCAAGTCATTTTCTAATCTCTCTCACCTGACTTTTGCACATAACACGCTCACTTTCATTTCTTTAAAATATTTTGACTTCCAGGCACCGCAGTTTTTAAATTAACTTGTACTTTGCTCTTTTTAGTCTATTTTGCTTATTCAAATATTTTTTTTCCTTGTTCTCTTTCTCAAATGTTAGACTGATTCACAGCTTAGTACTTGGATGTGTTTTCCTGTTCTGGCTTTTCCTCTCCCTCCTTAGGTATCTTGCTTTGCCTCCTGGCTTTAAGTATTCAGTATACTCTAGTGATTTCAGGCTTCTCAGAAACTAGGTCACTGTTCCTGAAACCTAGCACCTCCATTTCTATCTGTGCCCTTGACTTCTTCTGGGTGTCAAGTAAACATCCTAAGTGTGTCTTTTTTTATTATTATTATTGATTGTATTAAGAAACAAATAGCAATGAAACAGTTTCAAAACAAGTTAGTAGGACAGTTTCAATAATTAATACATTGCATATTGTTGTCTTCATAGTAGTTATTCATAGTACAAGATGCAGATATAGTATCCTATCCAAACACTATTGGTACAAGTCTTTTTTCTCATTGAATTAAGAGAAAGTACCTGTATATCTATCCTAACTATTTTGTATATACTGATACAAAATGTTCCTTCATTTATGTCCCCCTTTTTTGTTTAGTTTTGTCAGAGAAGCATATTCCATTGCCATTTAAATATTGTAGGTGCGTGAATTCAGCAAAATAATACAATATAATCCAGTAGCCCATAATAGTAGTGGGTTTTCCATAAGACTGGCAATGTCAGAAGTTGTTGACCTGAGCCTTTTACAGCTCAACATATTAAAATGGCTTTACTTTTTTACCTTGTTTTTATTCTTTTCTGCTGGATGGTTAAGGCCAAGATAAGGCAAGACCTACATAACAAGAAATGTAACTTTTGTATCTGACGAGGTCAGTGAAATCCTCTCAGAATTTACCCTGAAGCCCTGTACTGCAATGAAGTCCTACTTTTTTATTAAATAATTTTGGTAAGTTGCGAAGCACCTCAAATACTCTCCCTAGTGAGAGAAACCTGCCCTTCTTGATCCTCGTTGTTCCCCCCAACCTGGTCTATGACATCTTCATTCTGCACAACCACAAACCTTGTTCTTCTCTTTGACTCCTTCCTTCACTGCATGTCCTGTAAGTGGCTGGCCAGCATATTAAATTTACATATAAAAGCAATCAGGTCTCGCTATCCTCATTACACCTCCCATGGGGGCCACACCATCATCTTCTCTTTTTTATTATTGAAAAACCTGTTTACTGTCTGCTTGTGCTCATTGCCTCCCTAAGTTACTCAAGAAAGCAGACAGAGGAATTCTGAAACCACTGGAGTCATGGCATGCCACTTTGAGTTCAAAGTCTCCATTTGCTCCCCTTTCATTCACAGCAAAAGCCTTTTAGCAAGGCCTAAAGGTACTCCTGCTACATTATCTCTCTGATGGTGTCTGTACAATTGGCTCTTTCTCATTCTGCTGTAGCCATCCTTGCTACTCAGGCACATTAAACATGGTTTTGCCACAGAAGTTTTGCACATGTTTTGCGTTCTTTTTGGAATGAGCTTTCCAACCTTGCTTCTAGGTCTTTATACAAATGTCATGTTTATTGACTGACTGTTGTACTAGGCATTGCACCAAAGGCCTTGCACTGAACCACACTCCTGCCCTTGTCTTAAAAAAAGCTTTGTTGAAACAGGTCTTGCTAATTTGGCAAGGCTATTCTTGAACTTGTAGTACTCCTGACTCAGCTTTTGTGGTGGTTGAGAATACACAAGGGTACCGCAGTCATGGCTGTTACATTTTTCAATAAAGTCTTCAAAGTTTAGCTCACAGTCCAAAAAAATTCTGCCTTGATTTTTTAAAAATTGCTCATATATAACATAGATCATAAGATACTTTTCATGTACTTATTTTTATTGTCTATCTCCCTGCCAGAGAATATAAGATCCATGAGAGCAGAGATTTTTCTTTGAGAGCGGAAACTCTTGAAGGTTTTGTTTACTGCTATAATTATATTGATCAACTATTTGTTAAATTATTGCTTATTCTGTGAATCTCTAAATAAATAGGAAGACAGTGATGAGCAAAACAGATTTAAATTACTGTCCTCAGGACATTCTATTTGGGGAATGAGAGACAAAACAAACAAGTGAAATATAGACACCATATAGTATTAATAAATTTTGTGATGGAGAAGCATTATTAATGGAAGATCATGTATGTGGGGCATTTTAAACATTTTTTATAAACAGGAAAGAGAAATCAGATAAAATTGAGATGATGAAACTAATAAGGTTAAGCCCGTCAAACACTGAACGTCCTACAGTGCTGGAGTCGGATGTGTGTCAGTACCTGAGGCTGGAGGAAATGTTGGAAAGAACAGAGATACATCACTGGTCAAAGAGTAAGGGCAGAAGCACAAATACATAAGCTATAAAAGATTAGAAGCTTGGAGACCTCTGTTTCCTAGTGAAAGAAATCTCACTTTATAGTTTCCTACCTAAGAGTTTCACAATGTTAGGGTTGTCAAACTCTGCCATGAGGGCTGCCTCCCTTTGGAAATCCGCTTGCATGTCCGCTGAGGCCTCTTCTTTGAGCATCTTCACTGCCACCATTGTGAAAGGTTCGTAGGGAAGTAAGCCTGGGGCCCTGAAAGGCAAATTTGTAGAGAGAGAAACCATCAATCAGGAGGGTTATGCCCACATTGCATGTTACCCATGAATATACATAATCCCTAGGGCCAAAGCTCAATGAAAAAATGAGAGTAGAAAATCATACTTAAAACTCCATGTCTCCACTTAAAGAAAACTCAGTAGACTTTCAGTAGAGACTAAGTATGAAACAAGGCATTATATTATCAATTAAAGGAATTCTTATGTGTGCAGACACAATGGTGTTATCATTGTCTTTCTAATCCCAGAATCTAAATTCCTTGAGTTCAGGGACCATGACCTATGCATTTTTACATCCTCCACAGAGCTGAAGGTAATATCTTGCCTTAGGTATATTTGGTTCCAAATAAGCAGTTAGGCAAGATTTTCATTGACAGTGTAATGTAACCAGGACCAGTATGAACAGAGATGAGATGTATCTTGCCACAGGTCACACGCCAAAATGACAGTTGGGGATTAAAACTAAAGGCCCATTTTCTGGCCCAGCTGTGTGTTTGTGGAACTATATCCATGCAGAAGGACATTTTATTCTGTTTCACACAGAGGCAATAAATGGGCTAGTATTAGCTAGTAGACTCTTTTCTTCAGCTAAATTTATCTAAATTTCTGCACTATTTACTCTTTTCTATTTTGTTATTCCATGAATATCTACATACAATGTATATGTGTCAAACTGAGTTCCCAAAATACTAATTAAAATGTCAACCTTCAGTGAAGCGGGGGATATATAGCAATAGAAAATTGAAGAGAAGTAAATTTAAGGCTTGCTACTAAAAACAATGTGAGAAACTATGCTTAAAATATATGACAAGTTCTTTTCTAAAAGTATAATTTATGACTTTTCAATCATTATTATGTACTCTTTAAAATATTTTTTTGGGGTCAGGGAGATAGCTCAGTAAAATAAACGCTTGCCTGGCAAGCACTGGGTCCCGAGTTCAATCCCCGGTTCCGCAAAAAAGAAAAAAGAAAATTTCTTTTTTTTTTTTTTTTTAAATGTATTTAGTGCAAAGTCTACAGGATTCCACTACACAGATCAGATGTGGAGTGATCCTCCTATTTCAGCCTCCCAAGCACTGGGATTACAGGCACATGCCATCACACCCACCCATTCTTAAAATAATTTTTTTAAAAAGTAAGAAAAAGACAAGAAAAAATTGCTTTATTGAAAGCAAATGTTAATATTCAATTATTTGTCCAATCTTGTATATCTGTTAATCTGAGCAACAGATTTGACAATAAAAATAGACAATATTACAGCCATTATTAATTTATTATTCTTGTTTTGAAAATATGTAACATATGTATTGTTGTATGTTACCCCGTTTTTGTCTTTGTATCTGCTATTTATTTTTGCTTTTGCTTTTGCTCTTCAAATAAAATAAAACACATTTAAAAAAAAATTTAGACCATTAGTAATCTCTTGTTGTTTCAATGATAATGTATTTGATATACTATAAATTGCATTAAAGTCTTTTAAACATGATAAAATAGTCTTTCCATTTATACTCCTGTTTTCCAGTAAAGATGAAAACTATTAGGATTTAGATTATAGTATGCAAAATAAATACAGCTAATCATGTAAGAAATTAGTTTGTGTAAAGCATACTGTATGCAATTTATACAACAGGTTGATGTGCGGGTAATTTTTCAGATACAACAGATTTTAGTGGACAGATTGTTATCTTTCACAACTCAATTTACCTTGCTTGAAAGACCCTTCCAAATGCTCCTTCCCCGATATCTCTCACATACTCAATGTTATTCCTTGGATACTCCAGGCTGAGCAGTTTGGGGTTCAGAAGGAGTGGCATCCTCTGGTACATGGGATTCGGATGGAGCCTGTCTAGCAAGAGCTCAGAAGGCAATGTGGTGAGGGTCACTGCTGCTGATTCTCTGCAGGCAAGGGGTAGGCAAGATCAAGAATGAGCTCAGGAGTGGGGAAGGCCTTTGCAGTCCTCTTAGGTCCTGACAGATTTGGTAGTTGGGAGTAAGAGAACCAATTACACTAAGGCAGCCAAAGAGTCTTTGATTTGAAAGTAATGAAGTATCTTGTTTGATCTAGAGTCAAAAGGCACATTTTTGGAGGAATTTTGTCACTATCCAAATTGCAAATGGCAATGGGGTTGGGAGGAAGGAAGGGAAGAAAATGGTTATTTCAATTAATTATTGTTTAAATCCTCTTTTCTGGGGAAAGTTAACTTTAGGACTTGTGAAATCAATGCAGAAATGCTTACTTTTTAAAAAAAATAATTTTATTGAGAAACAAATAGCAGTGAAATAGTTTCACAATTGATTACTAATACATTTTCAATAATTAATGCATTCCATATTGTTGTCTTAGTGGTTATTCACTGTACAAAATGCAGACATGATATCCTGTCTCAAACACTATTAGAACAAATGTCTCTATTCATCGAAGTAAGAGAATGGAGCTGTATATCTATCCTAACTATTTTGAGTTTACAGATACAAAATGGTCATTCATTTGTATCCCACTTTTTTGGTTAGTTTTGTCAGAGAAGGGCATTCCATTGTCATTTGAATACTGTAGGTGCATGAATTCAGCAAAATATCACATTACAGTGCAGTAGTCCATAATAGTAGTGGGTTTTCTGTAAGAATGGCAATGTCAGAAGTTGTTGACTTGAACCTTTTCCAGCTCAGCATATTCATATGGTTTTACTTTTTATACTTCATTTTCATACTTTTCTGCTGGATGGTTAAGACCAAGATAAAGCAAGACCTGTATAGCAAGAAATGTAACTTTTGTATCTGATAAATTCACTCAAATCCCCTCAGGATTTAATCTGAAACTCTGTACCACAGTTTGTTGATCCTTTGTCAGTGTCAGCCATGTGGATGAGTCTCGGCCATTGCTTGACCAATTTGCTTTCTGTGAAAGCTAGAGAGAATGTTTTCTCTCCATGTGACTCTCCTTAGGCACACTCTACATCATCCATCACTTTCCTTTGTGGTCCCATAATCTCCTTGATCAGAAAATTTGGGACACAACTGAGTTACATGTTATAGTACAGGTTCTTCTATGTCCTGAGTCTTCACTAACTTTGAAAGTCTAGGGCCAAAATGTTGACTGTCCTTGCAGCCCTTCTTTCTCTCTAATTTTTGGTCTGCAAATTTAGGTTGTTAACCTTCCAGAAGAGAGGCTTATCATCATTATCCTACAACATAGGCAGTTGAGCTTAACCTCACTATCTGTCTGGATATCAAACATCTTAGATATAACATGGAACAGGTATTTTCCATCAAATATTGATATTTTAAACTTTGAGTCCCTCCAGAATATGAAGAAAAAGATTAAAAAGATAAAAAAATTTAAAAAAATAAGAATAAGCTATGTGTGCTTAGCTTTATAAAGAAAACCTCACCTCTTCTTATTTTTCCACTCTTTTCTTCTTCGACAGCAATACAGAGTAGTGATAGTAAGAAGCACAAATACTGCAAAGCTGGACATGATGGAGATGATTACGGTCATGGAGTACGTGGGTGTGACGGAGAAGGGAGACGAGGAAGAGGGCAAATGCGGAATGTCCACACTGGGCTTTGAGGATGGCATCGTTGGGAATGCTGCAAGTGAAAATAATGCTTTTCATTCATTCTTAGATCTTTAAGAAGCAACGTTTTTGTCTCCAGGGAATCAGTGGATTAAGTCTATTGTAAAGAATGTGCTTTTGTATCAGGATCTTCTTGGTTTTCATATATAAAATTTAGTTTTAAGAGTACAGTAAAATTTGGATATAAGAGAATCTGTTTATAGAATGATAGGGTTTTAAGAGAAGAAATAGTATTTTTCCAAGAGAAATGCAGGTCTTTGTTTAGTGTCCTTTGTACTGCATCACATTATCTATGGTTGACAACAGTCATGAAAATTGTTAAATAAAAATGTTTTATGTAAATTATACCTGAGATTGAGATTGTCTAGCTAAGCATTCATGCACATTTATTATTGGTAACACACCATTCTATAAGATTTCTACCATATCAATACTCTTAACAAAAAGGATTCTGTTTGGATGGGAAGAAAAAAACTACAGAAGAAAATAACCAGACTCCACCTTACACTACTAACTTCAAAACTAGTAGTTTAAAAATCACATCTATACTATTGAGAGAAAAAAAAATGTCACCCAAGATTGTCCATCCCCAACTACTGCACCTAAAATAATCCAGGCAAAAATAAAATTATTGGGCTGCCTTAAGACCTTGTCTGAGGAAGTACATGAGGGGACTCTTAACTAAATAACAATTGAATTGGAAAGAGACTTCAAGATGAAGAATAGGGGGCCAGGGAGATGGCTCATTGGAATAAGTCCGTCGCTGGCAAGCACAAGGGCCTGAGTTCAATCCCCGGTTCCGGAAAAAAAAAAGATGAAGAATAAAGGCAGCAAGAAGAGTATAAATCTAAATCTGAATAGACAATGATGAATGGTTGGGGATTTTGTCTAAATCTTTAAGTGGAAATTGCTACAGAACTTCATTCTTCAAGGAGAAACCTAATAGTGCTGGGTAGTAAAGAAGATACAAATATTCTGAGGATTTTATTGGACACTAAGAGTCCCCTGCAAAAAGAAGAATTAAGGAGCAAGAACAGCACTATAATGAAAGAACTGGTATCTGCGTTTCACCAAACAGTGGAGGAATAATAACCAGACAAGAAAATAAGATGAGAAAGAAGAAACCACAGAGGTAAACTTAACTTAATAGAGATCGTGTAAAAATAAATCTTTATCCAATCGTCAGTTGATGCGCATCATTATAGACTCTGCTTCAATGAACATGGATGCACATAAATCACTGTAGTATAATGTTCTTAATTCTTTTGGAAAGATACTAAAGGTGGATATCTGGGTTAAATGGAACCACTAGTCTTAGATGTCTGATAATCTCCACATTGATTTCCACAGAGATTGCGTCAGTTTACACTCCCACCAACAGTGGAGAAAAATTCCCCTTTCCCCCCCACAATCCTACCAACATTTGCTATTGATTGTATTCTTGATCATAGCCATTCTTTCTGGAGGGAGAGGGACTCTCAGCGTTGTTTTAATTTGCATCTCTGGAGTGACCAGTGAGATTGAACACTTTTTAAAATATATTTATTTGCTGTTTGTGCTTTCTCCTCTGAGGGGTGTGTATTCATCGCTGGTGCTCATTTTTGGATTGGGTCTTTAAATTGGGGGACTTTGATTCTTTCCAGTTCTCTATGTATTCTAGACATCAGTCTTTTGTCTGAGGAACAGCTGTCAAACTTGTTTTCCCAGTGTGTGGCTTCACCGTTTACTCTATTGGTGATTTCTTTTACTGTGAAAAAGCATTTTAATAAGATGTGATCCCAGCTGTTGATTCTTTGTAATGTATGCTGTGCAATTGGAGTTTTTCTGATAAAGTCTTTGCCTCCTCCTATAGAAGCACAGTTTGAAATAACTAAATACTGGGAAAAGCCTAAATGCCTATCAACTAATGAATGGATAAAGAAAACATAAGGTTTTTAAAAATACAATGGAATATTACTCATCCATAAATAAAGATAAACTTGAGACATTTATAGATAAATAGATGCTTCTAAAGAACATGTTCTTAAGTGAAATAAATCAGAATCACATGTGTAAATATTCTATTGTTTTTCTGGTGTGAGAAGCTGAAAGTATAATAAGGGCCAAAATGTATAAAAATATTGAAAAATAGGAAGGTTACATTCCAATGGGATAGAGCATAAAGGGAGAAGGAGAGGAGAAGGAAAAAGGGGAAAAAATGAGCAAAGAAAGCTAAGATGGAAGCACAGCTTCTGTAAATACAAAGGGGAAGAGGGACAGAAGAGAGGGAGAGAAATGGTGAATAAATACGAATCAAGATATATAGTGTGTGGGTACAAATTTCCATGGGGAAAGTGATCTGTATGTATATCGAAACTGTGCCAGAAAGCATAATTAATGATGAAAGAAGAGATTGTGAAGCAAAGGCAGGAGGGCTAAAAATCAAGTTCATCAGTTGCTATGTAAAATATGAATAGATTAAAATCTATGAATGAAAAATTAGTCAGGATAGACTAAACCCAGAAAAAAGTCAAATACTAATTGACTTTTAAGTCAGTGAAAAGAAATGAATTCCAAGTAACTATAAATATGAAAAAGAAAGAGTACCAAGGCTAATGTCAGAAACTTAAAATTAAAAGCACTCAGATAAGTCAAGTGACACTCTGCATTTGTAAAACACTTCGTGAAACATGAGAAGAAAGTGTCATGAGTCACTATGCCTCACAGAACATGGCAGTCAGACATCTAAAACAAAACTTAATATTAATTCAAAGAAAATCTGATTAGAAATGATCATGATTAGGATTGATCTAGTGGAAAATTTAAGTCAGAAATCAACTCAACTGAATCAATAGACTCACATAAATGTAGGATACTATTAATACCATATGATTACTAGATAGATAATATGAGTTTATAATACTAAAAAAAGAAAAAGACTTTTATCACGGACAATGATAGTTACAGTGTAGATAGAAACACACATTCTTCATGCTGTGTTCAATGTTAGGCTTTCCACATAGGCATTTACAGTCTGAAGACAGCGCCAAGATCATATATTTGGATTTTAAATATTAACCTAAGCCCACCCTTTTCTGTGACAAAGGTCTTATTTTTCTTTCAGTATTATAAACTCATGCTATCTATCTAGTAATCATATGATATTAATAGTCTCCTACATTTATGGAGTTTATTGATTCAGTTGATTTTATTTCTGACTTAAATTTTCCACTAGTTCAATCCTAAATCCATTAGGGTAAGTTGCTTAATATTGCTTTCTCTCATTGACAAGTATATTAACACTGAGGGCATTTGTAGTATCTAATTTTATAGGGCTTTTAGAAGTACTAAGAGACATAATGTACCTAATACACTGGACAGTTCGCCTGGATGGGGGCACAAACTCACTTACTCTCTGTGTATGTGTATGGAGATAATATAGAAAGAAGCAGGGAAGCATTGAGGAGAAAAACAATTGTCATCCTAAGAATGAGCCAGATTGGCTCACTGCTGAGTTTTTCTGTACTAATGTATAAGAAAATCCCACAGAAGGGGGTTGTTGTGCTTAGCAGAAGAATAACATAAATAGCATATAGGCACTGCATTCTCCAAAAGGTATTTCACTTCATCAGAAGAAGCCATAAAGAAATAGAAGCTATTGAAATTTTTGTCTCTCTCTCTTTTTTCTTTAATAATTTTATTGAGAAACAAATATCAATGAGCAGTTTCACAACCAATTACTGGCACTTTTTCAATAATTAATACATTGCATATTGTTGTCTTAGTAGTTATTCATTGTACAAGGTGCAGATATGATATCCTGTCTCAAACACTATTATAACAAACCTCTCTATTCATTGAATTAAGAGAATGGAGCTGTATAATTATCCTAACTATTTTGAATATACAGATACAAAAGGGTCTGGACATTGTCAATCTTATGGAAAACCCACTACTATTATGGACTACTGGACTGTATTAGGAGATTCTGCTGAATTCAAACACCTACAATATTTAAATGACAATGGAATGCCCATCTCTGACAAAACTAACCAAAAAAGTGGGATAGAAATGAACAACCCTTTTGTATCTGTATACTCAAGATTTTTGTCTTTTTCAAGGAAAATGAGAATAATACAGAGATAAATAATTTTTAAAATTTCTTCTAGCACCCCTCAAGGTGAACTGCTAATAACTTTTGGAAATCACTCAGAAACAAAACAAAACAAAGCAAAATGAAACAAAACAATCACAACAAACTCTTTAAGAAGGATTTAGGGTCTTTAGACCTTTCTGTAGAGTATGGGTTGCTGTGCCTCGCAAGGATACTTTCTTTGCTCATCACTGACCCTCCAGAAGAGCGAAAGGCAATTTCTTCACAATAATTCCACCTAACTCCAGGAGAACAGACATTCCCCACATATGTATGGGGGAAATGATCATTTTATGATATTTGGAGCTCATGTTCTTCCTGTATCAAAGTCTTCATAGAATGTTGTTTTCTAAAGACTGGGAAATTAGTTATCATATATTGATATGCATTGTTTCTAATTCAGAATTAAATGTCAGTTTCTTCAGTATAATAAATCTGCTATTAGTGCATGAATCGATGAACGAGTGAAAAAATGAATGATGACAACGACCACAGTTATCCAAATAAGTTCTGGCTGGTAATATGACAGAATTAAAACATACCTTTTTGTTTGTTTGAGACAGGATCTCTCTATGTAGTTCAGGCTGGCATTAAACTTGTTATGTAACCTCAGATTCACGGTAATCCTCCTGCCTCAACATCCCCAGTACTGAGATTATAGGTATGCACCACCACACCCAGCTAAAACATATATTGTTTAAAAATCCCATTAATCTGGGATTAAGAATTGTGTGTGCTTCCAGAATACTAGATTTTGAGGGCTTTTCATAACTATTCTTGTTTAATAACCCTAAATGATTCAATTAAGAAGAGTAGCATTCTATCTTTTACTACTTTAAATCCTAGTTCTTTAAATAAGCTGGTAAAATCAAGAAATCAGACCTGAAATATGCATTACAGGAAGAGACTGTGATTAATCCCTGTAACATCCAAGAAAGTTAATTGTAAAACTTTTCTAATTTTATTCTGTGGATTTATGCTTTCTGTTAGGTTAAGCACCATTTGATAGAAGTTAATTTCTAGGATTTTTTTTCAAAACAATCTTCTTGAATTCTTTCCTAAAGATTTTGTGATGATCCTTTGAAATCCATTTGATTTAACTTTATAAATGTTATCTGGGAAATTAACTTTCCTAAGAAACTCTTGTTTTTCATCAATGGATAGTATGAGGACAGATAATGATATTATGTGTAGTATAGCACTACTTTTTTCCCCTAAAAGCTAGGAGAAAGAGTATTAACTTTTTTCACCACAAAGAAATGATACAACAAATGGAGAGTGATTACTCTGATTTGAATAGTACATGTATCAAAATGTCACATAGTACCCCATAATCACGTATGGTTTTACATGCCAATTAAAAAAAGAAAAATCCCTACAGCCAAATATATTAGAACAAATACAGGGCCCAGGGAGATAGCTCAGCAGAATAAGCACTTGCTTGGCAAGTGCAGGGTCCTGAATTCAATCCCTAGTACAGAAAAAAAAAAAAAAAAAAAAAAGAAAGAAAAAGAAAAAGAACAAATACATTGAATTTGTGTGGGACCCCAGCAGTGATAGTTTTATGGTTTGCATGTAATTTTAATGTGTGAAAAACCACATAGTTAAATATCCTTTATAAAGAAGAATAGAAACCCATTTTTGCAGACAAAATATTAGGAAAATTATATTCCAACTACAAATTAATTTTTTTCCTCTTGTAAAATATGTGTGTGTGTGTGACAGGATTTCCTTATATTATTTATTGATTTATTTATTTTCCTTATTTAGTTTAGACTGTCCTTGAACTCAGGATGTAGTTCAAGGAGGCCAAGTTAGCCTCAAACTTGCTATAATCTTCCTTTCTCAACCTCCTAAATGCTGGGGTTACAGGCATGTGTCACATACCCATCTTAGTAGTATTTTTAGTTTTAGAATCAGGGCAGAACTTTCAGATAGAGTGGGATTATTTGCAATTGCTTTCCTTTTCAACTTTTTGTTGTGCCACTTAGAAATTTTTTCTACAATGAAAATGGAATTCTTGTACAAAACCTAACACTAAACTTCTGAAAAGAAAAGAGAACCAAAAATGGACAAACTATCTCTACTCTTAAAAGACTTGTCACAAATTAAAAAAAAAAACACAAATTGAGTTTAATGAAAAAATACATACTTGTTTCATCCACAAGTAATTAGATACTACAGAATCACGAATGCTAAAGTCAGCAGGTGACATTTTAAACCTGGTTTATCTTTCAGTGAAGTCACAAAACAGGGTAGCAAGCTTGAAGTGGAAGACATTAATTGCACCATCCACCAAATGCGGTGTTCTCCAGGGCCTCGTGGGGCACACAGCACAGCCTGCAGCCCCCTTCCTGTGTGTTCTGCCTGGGTGCGGCCGGCGCAGTCACTCACGCGCTGCACGTTCTCTCCTGCACTTCATGAGGTGTGAATGTAAGTACGCATGCAGGCATCCAATTCCATACACATAAACTTTCAAGGACACAAACAAAATTACTTACTTGTTAGGTTTTCTTTTTTATAATCTGAGGGGGAAAGGATAAAAATTTGTTTTAAGTGAGCATCCAGATATATATTCTGTGGGAGAGTGCTATGAAATGCAATTCTTTTTTGAATATCCAACTGGAAAACATTCTTTGCATTCACAAGTGAAGGCGGAGTCTTTGAAACTACACCAGCTGTTAGGGATGAGAATCCAGGTCCTCACAAAGCCCACGAAAGCAACATGCAGCAGTTCAGCTTTGTTTTGTGAGATCAGCGTTTTCAACCATGTGGTTTCTTTTTGCATGCTTAAAAAATCTGTGTCATTGGCTACAGAGAGAGGACTTTTACCCTTTACTTCACTCTTCTGACAAAATATGAGCTATTTCTTAACTATTTTTATGCACAGTCTAGAAATTGTCACAAGCCCTCTCTCCTAAGATTCTCTATGAAACAAGGTAGATTCAAATAGCAGTGAAGAGTGTTTTTTTTTTTTTAATTTTTAGAACAAATGAAGTAGTTATTTATGCTATTGTGTGCAATTTGAGTAGCATTGGGATTCTGCTATTAGGTATGTAAGGAAAGCAAAACAATCAATAAATCAACCAATCAACAGATTAGAAAATGCCCAGAAAGCCTTAAAATATTAGGAGCTTTCATTCCACACCTTAGTTTATTCAAAATAGTAAATTTCCCTTGACTTTACAGTCTTGTAGAAGTCTTTATTACCTAAATATGGCAGTCTGGTACAGGCCATGGGATCCCAGTGCATGCTGGGAAGCTTGCTGCAGTCTAGCATAGACAGCAGATGCATCCCAGATCTATAGAGTCCTCTGCGGATCTTTTCTTCCATCTCCAGCCACTCCTTTGCACAGAAGAACTCCTTTACTGCTAAGCAGTACTCTCTAAATAGTGGAAACAGAACACAACTTGGTGAATTGTGGCACTTAAAGCCAACTATGTGGCAGAGCTTAAAAATCTGTATTTTAAAAATATCGTCAGAGTACACTGTGCTTGCAAAAGCATTTTTGAAAAGAATTTCTACTGTAAATAATGTGAGGCCGTATGAGACTGTATATTACACTGTAAGATGAAGCATCGAATTCTCAATTTCCAAAGCTCAAACTTGAAAGTTATGCACAATAAGTTTAATTTTGATTCATTTTTTTTTTTTTTGCTGCAAACAGCAGAAGTTGTCAGAATCTCAAAAACATTCTTAAGAAAATAGTGTGGAAAGTTTAATGTCTCACTATTAAACCTTTGAATAATAAAACCCAAAAGCAGAATGTATTAGATATTTTAATTCTGATAATACTAATACTTACATAACATATATGGATTTTGCACAATACAATGTCCTTAAAATATGCAATTTTACAATTATATATCAGAGAAAAAACTTCTATAAAATGTGAGGTTTGCAGTATCTTTTCTTATGTCAATGGGAACAAAATATTTTACTATAAGGATTTAAAACAATACAAATGATTTTCTTTCTTTTCTGTGGCAGAACTGGGGATTGAACTCAGGCCCTTGCACTTGCCAGGGAAATGCTTATTCCACTGAGCCATCTCCCTGGCCCCTATAATAAAAATAGTTATCTATATAGTACTTAGAAGTGTAAGAACAAAAGTATGATAAAATGACTTTGCATATTTGAGAGATAACTATGCTATTCTAATAATTCTGAAGTCCTAAGGAAAAATTTTCTCTTATAAAAAGTAAGTTATTTTCAATCTTAAAAAGGTCTGTCATTTTGGCTTATGAGTGCAAACTGATCTAAGATATAAATGCTGAAAGATTACTCAATACATGTATTTTCTGCTAATATACAAAAACAAAATTCAACTTTACATCTGGAAAAGTTGGGTTGGCGAGATAGCTCAGGGAACTAAGTGCCTGCTTAGGCAAGCACAGGGCCCAAAGTTCGATCCCCAACACCACATGCTTAGCTGGCACCAGCCCTACGCCAGGCATGCTGAGCTGGCCACCTACACTGGGTGTGGTGGTGCGCCCCTGTAATCCCAGGGCTGGGGAGGCTGAAAATAGGAGGATCACTAAAAGTCTGAGCTGCATAATGAGACCTTGTATCAAATACAAAAATAAATAAATCCAGAAAAGTTTTATAAATTTTAATTAATAAAGGAGATTGAAATTAAAAACAGCTCAATTATTATTTATAAACCATATTATATCTGACAGGGGAATTATAAGACTATCAACCAAAAATCTAGTGGAATTCTGTACACAGTTGAGACCTACAAGTAAAATAAAACACAGAAGTTTCACTGTCTCTTACCAATAACTTAGTAGGAAGTAACATGGAAATATTTCCCCACCTGCTGGTGAGGATTAGTGACCTATGATTGCCAAGACTTGATTGTGTGTGTGTGTGTGTGTGTGTGTGTGTGTGTGTGTATGTGTGTGTGTGTACAGCACATGTGTGTGTGTATAGTCAAATAAAAATATAATAATCTAAGAATTTCACAAATATATTGCCTGCATCTGACTGTTTCATTTTTACTGGGGAGAGAAAAACCTTGAGTAGCCTGACACATCTATACTTTTATTTTTATATTGTACATGAATGGTTTTAAAATTCATAGGCAGTGTCACAAGGAGCTTGACACTATGTCTTCCATCACCTAACTCTATTTCTACCTCTGCCACCCAATTAAGTGAAAGTAGCAATAAAAATGAACAAACCACTGTCACATGCAGTATCTTGATGAATATTTAAAACATGCTCAACAAGAGGATCCAGATACAAAACAATGCATATTGTACAATTTTACCACTGTGAAATTCGGAAACAAATCAAAGTAGTCTATGTTAAAGAAATCAGGCCACCTTTGCGGATAATGGGAAGTTGATTAGAAAGAGCACAAGGGCATGCTCTGGGTGGTGAAGCATTCTGTATTTTGATTGCACTTGCTGCTGCATACATATACATGCCTTCATTAAACCGAACTTGATGACTAAATGGAACACAATTCATTTTGCATAAATTATACTTTTGTCAACTAATTGCCACAATACAAGAATACAGTATTTAAAATCTGTTTAATATGCTCAAAAGTTATATAGCTTAATTTTAAAATTTCAAAGCTTTAAGGAAATTAATAATATTTTCATTCAAATAAAGAATGAGGGAAGGAATTATATTTCCACAATTTTGTGAACATTCTAGCTTCATGTGCCAATTATATTGTAAGAAGTATTATCACATAGCTACAACAGCAAAACATACCTAGTCATAAATTTACAAAAAGTAATATTCATATGAAGGAAATCAGTAAATTTTACTAACAGCCTAAAATAGGATTAAAATGAATGACACACAGGACCATACTCCCAAATGAGAATACTGAATAGTGTAAATATAGCAATTCTTTTGAAGTTAATCCCAAGCTTAGAGTCATTGTAGTCAAGTTTCAAGTGGTATTTACAGGTTGGTTTTGAAAACACATTTTCAAATTTCACATTTAAAAAATAATTGCATGCCAAGTCAGCAAGATAGCTCAGTGGACTAAGCGGCTGATTGGGCAAGCTTAGGCGAGTGCAGGGACCACAGTTAGATTCCTAGCACTATATGCCATGCCAGCCCTGCCCCCAGGGTGGGCTGAGCCAGCCAGAATCCAGGTGGGCATAGTGGCACATGCCTGTAATCCCAGTGCTGGGGATGCTGAAAGCAGAAGGATCGCTATGAGTCTGACCTGCGTAATGAAACACTGCAACAACCAAATACATTTTTTAAAAAATTGCATATCAAATAATTCTGAAAAAGATGAAATTCTGTGAGCTTTCTGGTAAAAATAAATAAATTATAAAGACATTGTAGCTAAATCCAAGCATTTCTAGCACAAAATAGACAAGTCATTAATGACAAATAATTCAAAGTATAGAAACATGGATGTAAATAAATATTAAGTAAACACCCCTCAGTAGTGACGAGCTAGTTCAGTTTTATCACTGAGAGTCCTACCACCAAAGAAATTCCTCATTCCCAAAATATATTTGTTTAAAACATTTTTGCTAGTGAACAAAATTTCCTTCCACAATTTCCATTTAAAGAATATGACAACTTGGGCAATTAAAGGAAAATGAAACTCAATACTTAAGCCATTAATAATTTTATATTTTCACCTTTACTTAGTAGGTAATTACTATGGTATCATGAATAAAACATAATTTCTGATTTGCCTGAACCTGAGCAATTTGAGGCAACTTAGAAATACCATTAAATAGATATCATTTTTTAAAAATATATTTGGTACAGGATCTCACTACACAGCTCAGACTCCTAATGATCCTCCTGTTTTTGGCCTCCCTAGCACTGTGATTACAAGTGTGCGCCACCATGTCCAGTCTCAGTGGCCAGCTCAGTGCACCTGGGGGGTGGGGCTGGTATGGCTTGTCGTGCTGGGATTGAACTCCAGTCCCTGTGTTTGCCTAAACAGGAGCATAGTCTGCTGAGCTATCTTGCTGGCCCAAGGCTCATTTTTGGATGACAGTTTAGTCTGATGCAATGACAAAGCTTAAAGGAGAGTCATGAGCAGGGTTCTACAAAAATCTGATGCTAAGTATGAAGCTCATGATGGAAGAATTTGTTTGCATGTGATCTTCAACCAACTCTGACTCAGCTGTTTAGAAATCTCATGCAGCAGCCCTGTAGGGAGAATGCTTGAGACAGGATTCCTTAGAGCCGTGTTAAGTGCATTGCTTACAATCAAAGGAGAAAGGATTAAAAGCTTGATGTGTAGCATGAAATTGACTACCTCTACAGAACAGATTAAGAGATTAACTCTTCCCAAAGTAAAAATCATAAGAAAAAAATAACAACATGACTAAGGCACATTATTAAAGCATATTGATAAAAGAAGATACTAAAAACAAAGATACAGGTTTGAAGACAAAAAATTTAAATTAATAAATGACATCTCAAAAAGCAGCATAAGAAATAGTTCTTCCTCTCTTAGTGACACATCCTCAAAATGTTTATAGATGAAATAATATTCATAACATTTGTGATTCACTTCAAAATATATAATCTGGGCATGGCACTGAAAAGGGTCAAGTGGGTAGGGATGAAATGAGATTGACCATGAATTGATAATTTTTAAAGCTGAGTGACAGGTACATGAACATTCATGGTTTTTATTTTTGTAAACGTACAAAAATGTCTACAATTAAAAAAAAATAGCCAAAGCAAAAAGAACAGTTCATTTTGCATTGGGGTAAATAATCTATAAAACCTACAATTAGCAAGCACTTAAGTGATCATAGCTTTAAAATTTTATTAGAAATGAATGAACAAACTGGTAAATAAATAAGCAAAGGCTATAAACAGAAAAGCATTTAAAAGACTTAAGATTGTCAAGTATACTTAAGATCTTTGTTTTCTTCTTTGTGATTTTTGTGTATTCTATTTATGCAGTGGAGTCACGTGGGCTCCCTAATCAGAAAACCGCAATGACTGCCACAAAAGAGAAATGTATTTCTAATCTCACAATTACCCCTCTCAAGCATCTGTGCACAGTGTTGAGATGATTCACTCAGAGGTCACTGATCAAGTATGCTAACTATTCTAGTCATCACCACAAACTACACTAGCAGTGCTAAGAACAAGATGGGCAAAATCTACTGTCACATTCTTCTGCTAGCTACATTTGTTCTATACTACATATGTTCCATTTTCTAGTTAAAGGATTTCATTTTTGGTCAGTACCTCCAATGTACAATTATGAAGAAGTCTAAGAAAAAAAAATCTAAACTGAAAATGTGGCCATGGAAACAGAGGTGTGTGAAACAAGCAGTATTTCCTTAATTCCCATAAGACAAATCTTTACTTCAACTTGTTCACTTTTTTCCTCATTCTCTTTTTAGCAATAGTTTTAGTTTTTTTCGCTTCTTTTTTCTCCTTTTCTATTCCTTCAATGCCTGAATACCTGGAAATTTTCCTGTCATTCCTGTTCATGATATAACTTCTTAGGTGAAAGAACATGGCACCCTTACAGTGCCAAGAAACATTCAAGCTCGATAGTAAATTAGGAGGAAAACACTATTTTAATGACCTTAATATGTTCTCTTGATAGTGTGACCCAAATGATTTCAATTTAAATTACTCTTGGATTTTTATCAGAGATAGAAAAGTGTCATATGGGTAGTTCTGATGTGTTTTCTTTGAAAGAAAACTTAGGAAGAATGACGTCAATCCAGTTTCTAACATATACATGATGGGGGACGGGGTTTGTCCTCCCTTCAACTCCGCTGCGCAGATGAAGAAACAGAAGCTTAGCTAAGACCTGGCACATCCAGAGTCAAGAACTAATGGTATTAGGACCTTGTTGTATTTAGCTCAAAAGCCAGGTTGCTTCTTGTAGCTTACTTTTATATATGAAGATAATGAAAGCAGAGGTAATTCTATGAAACACATAAATTGCAATATTTGAAAAGTATGGGAGTTTTAAAAAGACATGTATTCATAAGCCATTCCTCCCACTTAAGTGAAGTGTGTCAGTAGTGAGAACGTAAAATCGAATGTACTGACTTCTCAATAATACTCTGCCATGAGAACAGAGGTGTGTGAAACAAGCAGTATTTAATGCTGTACTTGTCACTCACTGATAAGTGATGCTCAAAAACTTGAAGTAGACTTTTTTGTCTAGGTGTACTAATTATGTTAATTTAGAATTTCTCTTCTTATTTGATGAACAGAAAGGATATTCGTGGATATGATAATGTGAACAGTAACAAGGATAATAGAATTTAACCCTTCATGATATTTTCTAGAAGTTCAGAGTCTTTGCACTACAGTTATTTATGCGATAGGAATTTTGTCTTGCAAACGATTCCTCTGTTCAGTGAAAGCCAGCTTTTGCCTTTACCGTTGCTCAAGAGAAATTCTTCGGAAACCTTTTCTTGTTTTCCAGACAGAACGATGGAAATTTCCCATTTACTGGCGTTTGACGTCTTACCTGCACATGGGGGTGGGAGCCGACGCTGCTCCAGGGCCACCACACTCTTGGAACACGTGGTTGCACAGCCAAGCCTCTGCAGCCGGCTGGCAGAAGGGGCTCACAGCCCTCAGTTCACTCCAGGCAGTGTGAACCAACAGCTCTTGGGTCTCCTCAGGGTCCGTGTAGGAGGTGTTGAAAAACACAAGCGCATCTTTTGCCAGAACAGAGTCACACACCTCCCCTCTGTACTGGGCGCAGTAGCCT